AATTGTTTGACTAATATTGAGATAATTATAGTTAGATTTGACCGTTTAATTAGTGTTTTGTAAATGTGTTGAAGTTTATAAAAATTATTAATTGCTTACATTGAATGCACATGAATTAATTTAAACTTATTTGAAATAACTATCAAAATAACATTTATATTTGATTAATATTTGATAACAAACTTAATTCACGCAAAAATTAATCATTCAATTATTGTCTCAAATTTGAAATAAACAAATAGAGAGTAAATCACTTCACAGTTAAGTTTAATTTAAGTTTTGATAAATTTGTTAGAAAATTACAAATTCATATATTTCTTACAAAAAACAGACCAAACATTTCCTAAATAGTAAACATTCTTTGAAACGACTAAAAAAGTCTAATTAAATAAAACAAATAGTTTGTAATAAATATTGATAAATAATAATAATAATAATTAAAAGTAATAAATAATTTATACAAAAGAATGGCTGATTTGGCGACCATAATAATCATCTGCCTATCGGTGCTTTTCGTAGTGTTGTTAGCGGTGATGATAGCAATGATATGTCGGCTCATTTTCCTGCGGACCGTCCCAACCAAGAAACACGTGTCCGTATCGGTCGAGAGCGGCACAACTCTTCACATCGACACTAAGTCTGTCGACTCGGAGGACAAGTCAGACAAAGACAAGAAAAGCGCACAAAAACCTACTGTTAAACCGACGCCCGACTCATCGCAAACCATAACACGAACTGAATTGTAAGCCTCGACAGCCACAGCACCCGTACCTACCCTTCCCTTTGTGTCCATTAAAAATGATTTTAACACTATTTTCTGTATAAAATATAATAAATCTGTTTCTAATGCACTGTTTTAAGCCATTGCCGTTTTGAAGTTATTATTTGGTCATTAATTTCACAGATTTCTAAAACTTCTTTTTACCCTAAATTTTAAAACACTTTCACAAAACATTGAATTTGAATTTGAGATTATATTTGAAACACTTTTAACATTTTAATATAATCGCCAAAATAAATGTAAATATTTGATACACCAAAAAAAAGTCTAATAAACATTTATTCAAATTATTTAATTTATACAGTTTTAGCATAAGTTTTATAGATATAAGATCTGTTTTTAAAATTTAATATAAAATTTATAAAATAAACAAAAAGTACAAATTAATTTTGTCGACATTTGTTGATAAAAATAAGAAAGACATAAAATGGGTATAAATTATATAATAACGTTATATTTCAATGAAGACATGGATCGGTGAGGAGAGTGGCATAGGTTTAGGCGTACTATTACTTCGCGCCCCCGTATTGGGACACCGACTTGACTTTGGTCTGCTTTTTCATGAGCTGCGCGTAATATCCAGAACCGGTCGACTCAACCGATCGCACGGTTTCATCACTTTTCTTATTGTCCACGTCTTTGTCCCCACCCCTGGGCTTAACTAATGGCTTTCCTTTGGCTTTTGGGTCCGCTTTCATAGGCTTTTCATTATTAGGTTTCTTTGGTTTTTTCGATCGAAGGCCTGAATTAATCACACATTTTATACAATTAACACAAAAGTCTTATTATTTGTATGCATACAACTCACAGCAACAGATGATACAAAAGAGGCCAACGATTAGCGCGATTACAACCACGATGATCACAATCGTCAATAGCATTGACTTATCGGGCTCTTGAGTTGTGGCCAATGCTGTGTTGGTTTCGTCAACGGGTCCAACGGATCCAACGGTTCCATCGGTTCCACCGGTAATGATGTCACCGCTAGGACTGACTGTCGACAGAATTGAAGAAGTGGTCACATTTGATCGGCTCATGGATTGTTTCAATCGTTGCCACCAGGACTTGGCTGTTGTGGCGCTCATAGCCGACTGTCCCGATGAAGTTGGCTTCAGAGTCACACCATTGATGGCCAACAAACCAAACAATACAAGCATTGAAAACAATGATAACATATTTCGGTTTTTACAAAACATTAATTCAAATTCTATAAGACTTTCCGTTTTAAACCAAATAACTGGTGATTCAATTTATTGCTACAAAGTTTCTGATTATAGTTTTTATTTTTAAATATTTTTATTTCTTGCGATATTAATAATTGTTATATAATTGAAATCATAGTTGTATTTAAAACAGGATTTGTTCACTTATTTCTCACAATATTTACTTTATTTATTCAAAACTTAAAAACAATATCAGAAAAAACATTAATTAATTAGGTTTCTATATTACATTTACAACATTTATAACATTTTAAAAATACATTGATTTATATATTAAAATTGTTAATTATTATTAATTGGATAATAAAATGCCTTTATTTTTGTTAAATATAAGTTATTTTTATATTAAATAAATGCAAAAATTACAAAAATATAATTAAGAATTTATAAATTTACAATTTAATATACAAATAAATTGATAAATATTGAGATGAATGTTGAACAAAATTACAAAATAATACAAAAATAATACATAGAAATAATAAACAATATACTAAACCGATCGCACGGTTTCGCCGCTTTTCTTATTGTCGGCGTCTTTGGCCCCACCCTTAGCCCCACCCGAGGGGTCGGCCTCTGCTTTCGGTTCCCCCGTTGACGACAAGGGCTTATTGTCGACCGGTTTTGGCTCTGATTTCTTGGATTTGAGGCCTAAATAATTGTAAATTTTATTTATCAAAAGAAAAGTCTAATAATTTGTCCTCAAAAACAAAACTCACAGAAATAGACGATACAAATGATTACAACGGTTACCACAATCATAATGGCGATAATCAAAATGGTCCAAAACGCAGTCATATTGGACTTTTTAGGTGTGGCCTTTGTTGTGGTACGACTTGTATGAGTTGATCCAACCGTTCCGATATCACCGCTAGTACTTTGGTCCCCAATACTGACGCTCGTATTTGTCGCTAAAGTTGTGGTCGTAATGGCAACTGAAGACTGTCCCGGAGGTGTACTACTGGGCACAGCTGTCGTAGTTGTGACGCCCGGATGTATCGGTAATGAGCTGACGCTTGCGTTGGGGGCAGTAGTGATCGGATTACTTACAGAAGGGGTCGGATTAGTGGCAGAAATGGGTGGAGTAGTGGCAGAAATTTTATTCAAAAGTGGCGATGATTTGTGACAATTGAGAAAATCCATGACATGAGTCTAAAAACGATAATTTCAATGAGCAATAAGTGTTTCAAATGGTAAACACATTAATGGCTTATAATAGTTACAATTTGATTGTGTATCACCAAATTGGTCTTGGTGGGATCGGTAAAGTCCAGGAAGTACCAATGACCCTGAACCTTTTCACGAATAGCAAATATTTGGCCGTTTCTGTACGCCATTGCCGTGTAGTTAGTCGTGGAATCCATTTGTTTGTAATTACCCGCTAACTGGCCATCGATTTGTCGGATATACGCTTTCATATTAGTTGACTGATTGCCACTTTGAACACTGTTTAAGTAGAGGACATGTAATTGGGTTTTTAATTTGATTTGTAATGTTATTTTAAAGAATATTTAGTTGAATACCTGAGTTCATCAAATACAGTGATATAAAGACTTTGTTTCGCGATATCATAGGCCATACTCTTAACAATGAGGCCTTTATCCTGTGGCCAGAATGGGTCGGTCAGCGGTCCACTCATCGGCAAACCCCACGGCATAACATTCGGGTCCATCACCGGATGTATGGGCAGTATTTCGTGTCCGCCAACACCGATGTCTTTTGTGTGATAAGTTTTGTACTCCAAAGCGTTAGCACTAGTGTTGCCGATCACTAAAGTCTTATCAAAAGCGTTTGTCATAATCGCACAGTTGGCCTGCGATTGAGTGCACTCTTGTTGGGAACCGAAAGACACGGCACTTATAATCTCCGTGAAGTGATTGGCTATTAAATAGGGGTTTAAAGATTTATAATTTAAAACCAATTTCTTATTATTTCAAACAATCGTTGCATACAATCAGCGAATATGTTGTGAATGTTTTCTTTGTCGAAATACACCCATTGATTGCCAGCCATAATAGCCCTATAAAAATGGGTTCCGTCTCCAAAAAACAGTGTCTCTCCTATAATGAAAGCTCGCTTTGCATTATAGAGAAATAGTTTGGACGCCAGAGCGCACAACTCATAGCCATTGTCAACCGATGAATCGCTTGAACTCGACGGCCCGCCAGACGATATTGTAGTAGCAATGCTGGCCATCACTGCCGACTGAGATGAGGGACTGCCAGCCGATGCACCAGTGGTTGTGCTCACACCCGATGACTGAGAAGTGGGACTCGCAGCTGATTGGCCAGTAGTCGTACTAACGCCCGGTGCTTGAGGTGAAGGACTCACACCTGAAGTGACAGCAGTTGTACTGACCCCCGACGGCGCTACTGAAGTCGATTGTCCCGCAGAGACGCTGACACCTGATTGAGTGGTACTGACACTAGAAGGTGCTGCTGAAGAAGGACTCGACTGTGAGGGTGACTGAAGAGTTACACCATTGATAGCAACCAAACCAATCAATACAAGCGATGGATACAAAGATAACATCTTCTGGTTTTGCAAAACAATAACTGAATTTATTTAAGACTTTGTAATGAATTTCCGTTTTAAGTGAAATATAATGAGAATAATTGTAATAATTATTTCCAAAACTGCTTTCAATAATAACTTTTTGAATATTTATATTTCATGTGATTTTAATTATTGTGTGAATTATCTTTTCATTTAATTGTTAGTTGTATTGAATGCACTAATTTTATAATCATTTCACTGAATACTAATATTTATTGATTAACACAAAATTGAAACATGTATTAAAAATATTTAAAATTAGTTTTAAAAGTTATTAATTAATAAATCATACATTATAATTATTATTTGTAAATATATGTTGCAACGTCTGTAAATTCTGGGATTTCCATAAAGAATATTCTTTGGGCACAACAATATATTTTTTACCATTCATTCATTATCTTTAGTGTAATTAATAAAAATTAGTAAATCTTATTCACAATTTAATATTCAAGTGATTGTAAGTAAAGGCAAATCCATAATATGTTAAACATTTAGTTGATGTAAACTATAAAAGCAATCCTTGAATTTAAATATCGGTTTACTATTTCTATTAAACATTAATTGAATTCTTGTGTAATGAATGCAAAATTATTGTTCATCTCAATGTTTTTATTGTAAATTTTGATAAACGTTAAAAATAAGTATTTTTATAGAAAATACATTAACGAATATTTAATTTCTTTGGAAAACGAATAAATTGATAAAATTTGAAATAAAAATTGAATAAAATGGTAAAATAAGATCAATAGAAATAAAGCAAATATTAAACCGATCGCACGGTTTCGTCGCTTTTCTTAGAGTCCTCTCCTTTAGCCCCACCCGAGGGCTCGACCTTTGATTTCGGTGCAGTCTTTGCTGACCCGGCGGTCGGCGGCTCAGCCTTCTTGTCGGCCGATTTCGGGGGTATTTTCTTGGATCCGAGGCCTAAATAAACACAGATATAAGTCATACCACAAAATCTGATTGTATTTCATTAAAAGACTCACAGAAAAAGATGACACAAATGATTGCAACGATTACTACGATTACAATCACGACAATCAAAATTGTCAAAAAAGTTGTATTACTCGACTTTTGATGTGTGGCCGAAGTTGTGGTACCACTCGTATCAGCGGATCCAACTGTATTAATAGTAATCGCCGAAGGATTTTGTGGACCACTATTATCGGAGGGGTAAGCAGACGGACCCACAAGTGATGAGTTTTTTCTACAATTGATAAACTCAAGGATTGGGCACTAAAATAGACATAAAATAAGCACCAATTTGTAAATAGCAAATCAATTGCTTTAGTGATTACCGGTTTGTCATAAAACACTCTATTCGTTGAGTTATTGAATTGGAGTAAATAAAATCGATAGCCTATCCGATCACTGAATAATGCATACATTTGGCCGTTTCTGTACAGCAGTGAATCCACCGTTTCATACGATTTCAATGTGTTGTAATTGCCCGCTAACTGGCCGTCCATTTGTCGGATATACACATCTCTGTTATGATTATGGTAATCGTTTGGACAATTAATTGCAATTCGTGTCATCACATATTATACTATATACTACTGTACCTGCTGAATTTACTTTTACTTCCACTGACATACAGTTTCTGTTGTTTGGTATCGAAGGCCATACCATCAAAAATCACGCGCCCATCCTGTGGCCAGAATGGGTCGGTCAGCGGTCCACTCATCGGCAAACCCCACGGCATGTGTTTTGCGTCAGTCACCGCATGTATGGGCAGTAATTCACGTCCGCCAACGCCCATGTCTTTTGTAATGTAGGTCTTGTACTCTAACACATGAGCACTAGTGGCGCCGATCACTAATGTTTTGTCAAAAGCGTTGGCCATAATCGCACAGTTGGCCTGCGATTGAGTGCACAGATTGTGTGAACCGAAATCTATAGCATTTAAAATTCTCGTGAAGTGATTGGCTGTAAAACAAAAAATTAAAAATTACTTTAAAACCATCGCCTCTTTAATGAATCATTATTAATGATATAATAATTTGCATACAATTAGCGAATATGTTGTGAATGTTTTCGGCGTCGAAATACACCCAATCATTGCCAGACATAATTGCTCTATAAAAACGAGTTCCGTCTCCGAAATATAAAATATCTCCGATAATGAAAGCCCTTTTCACGCTTACAGTGAGCCCAGTGTTGCATAAATCATATCCAACTCCATTGAATGGGTAAAGTGTTGTCCGAGGCTTTCCCGTTGAGGTACTCATAACCGACGGCTGTTGTGTAGGACTGACACCAGACTGTGTTGTCGAGACATTTATAGCCGACGGCGCAGATGAAGAAGGGCTCGACTGTGGAGTTGACTGAAGAATCACACCATTGATGGCAACCAAACCAATCAATACAATCGATGGATACAAAGATAGCATTTTTTGTTTTATAAAATGATAACTGTATTTATTTAAGATTTTGTAATGAATTTCCGTTTTAAGTGAAATATATTCACAATAATTGTAATAATTATTTTCAAAACTGCTTTCAATAATAACTTTTTGAATATTTATATTTCATGTGATATTAATTATTGTTTGACTTATCCTTTCATTTAACAGTTGTATTGAATGCACAAATTCTATGCCTATTTTACTAAAAAATAATATTTATTTAAAACACCTAAAACGTGATTTGAACATGAAATTAAAAAATGTGATTTTATATAAATAATATTGAAGATAAAATTAGTGATAAAAGTTATTAATTAATAATCGTATATAATAATTATTATTTGTAAATATATAATGGTTTTATTGTAAATTTAGATAAACGTTAAAAATAAGTATTTCTATAGAAAATACATAAATGAATATTCAATTTCTTTGGAAAACGAATAAATTGATAAAAATTGAATTAAATATTGAATAAAATGGTAAAATAAGAAACAAATAAATAGAAATAAAGCAAACATTAAGCCGATCGCACGGTTTCGTCGCTTTTCTTATCGTCCTCTCCTTTAGCCCCACCCGAGGGCTCGACCTTTGATTTCGGTGCAGTCTTTGCTGACCCGGCGGTCGGCCGGTCAGCCTTCTTGTCGGCCGATTTCGGGGGTGTTTTCTTGGATCCGAGGCCTAAATAAACACAGATATAAGTTATAACACAAAATACTATTGTATTTAATTAAAAGACTCACAGAAAAAGATGACACAAATGATTGCAACGATTACTACGATTACAATCACGACAATCAAAATTGTCAAAAACACGGGTTTATTAGGCTTTTTGGTCGTATTACTCGTATTACCGCCAATAGTAACCGCTGAAGGATTTTGTGGACCACTATTACCGCCATCGGAGGGGTAAGCGGACGGACCCACAAGTGACGAGTTTTTTCTACAATTAATAAACTCAAGGATTGGGCGCTAAAATAGACATAAAATAAGCATCGATTTGTAAATAGCAAATCAATTGATTTAATGATTACCGGATTAGAATAAAACACTCTATTCATTGAGTTATTAAATTGAAGTGAATAAAATCGATAGCCTTTCACTTGATTAAATAATGCAAACATTTGGCCGTTTCTGTACAGCAGTGAATCCACATTAGTATTCAATTCCAATTTGGTGTAAGTGCCCGCTAACTGGCCGTCCATTTGTCGGATATACACATTCCTGTTATGATTATGGTAATCGTTTGAACAATTAATTGCAATTCGTATCATTGCATATTACGTTATATACTACCTCAGGATTTGACTTTTCATTTCAGTGATATACAGTTTCTGTTGTTTGGTATCGAAAGCCATACTCAAAAAAGTCACGCCACTATCCTGTGGCCAGAATGGGTCGGTCAGCGGTCCACTCATCGGCAAACCCCACGGCATAACATTCGGGTCCATCACCGGATGTATGGGCAGTATTTCATGTCCGCCAACGCCCATGTCTTTTGTAATGTAGGTCTTGTACTCTAACACTAGTGTTCTAACACTAGCACTAGTGTCGCCGATCACTAATGTTTTGTCAAAAGCGTTGGTCATAATCACACAGTTGGCCTGCGATTGAGTGCACAGATTGTGTGAACCGAAATCTATAACATTTATAATTTTCGTGAAGTGATTGGCTGTCAAACAAAAAATTAAAAATTACTTTACAATTAATTGCCTCCTCTTTAATGATATAATAATTTGCATACAATCAGCGAATATGTTGTGAATGTTTTCGGCGTTGAAATACACCCAATCATTGCCAGACATAATAGCCCTATAAAAACGGATGCCGTCTCCGAAATATAAAATATCTCCAATAATGAAAGCCTTTTCCACGCTTACAGTGAGCCCAGTGTTGCATAAATCATATCCAACTCCACTGAATGGGTAAAGTGTTGTCATCGGCTTTCCCGTTGAGGTACTCATAACCGACGGCTGTTGTGTAGGACTGACACCAGACTGTGTTGTCGAGACATTTATAGCCGACGGTGCAGATGAAGAAGGGCTCGACTGTGGGCTTGACTGAAGAATCACACCATTGATGGCAACAAAACCAATCAATACAATCGATGGATACAAAGATAGCATTTTTTGTTTTATAAAATGATAACTGAATTTATTTAAGATTTTGTAATGAATTTCCGTTTTAAGTGAAATATATTCACAATAATTGTAATAATTATTTCCAAAACTGCTTTCAATAATAACTTTTTGAATATTTATATTTCATGTGATTTTTATAATTGTTTGACTTATCCTTTCATTTAACAGTTGTATTTAATGCAATAATTTTATGCATATTTTACTAAACACTAATATTGATTTAAAACACTTAAAATGTGATTTGAACATGAAATTGACAAATGTAATTTTATAAATTATATTGAAGTGATAAAAGTTATTAATTAATAAATCGTATATAATAATTATTATTTGTAAATATCTAATGTTTTTATTGTAAATTTTGATAAGTGTTAACAATAAGTATTTCTATAGAAAATACATAAATAAAGATTTAATTGTATCGAAAACAACTAAATTGATAATAATTGAGATAAATGTTAACTAAAATAGTAAAATATAATACAATTAAATAGAAATAAACCAAATATTAAACCGATCGCACGGTTTCGTCGCTTTTCTTATCGCCCTTTCCTTTAGCCCCACCCGAGGGCTCGACCTTTGATTTCGGTCCAGTCTTTGCTGACCCGGCGGTCGGCGGGTCAACCTTCTTGTCGGCCGATTTCGGGGGTGTTTTCTTGGATCCGAGGCCTAAATAAACACAGATATAAGTTATAACAAAAAAATATTATTGTATTTCATTAAAAGACTCACAGAAAAAGATGACACAAATGATTGCAACGATTACTACGATTACAATCACGACAATCAAAATGATCCAAAAAGTAGTATTACTGGACTTTTTGGTCGGCGAAGACGTTGTGCCACTACTCGTAGCAGCGGATCCAACTGTTCCGCTGTCACCGCTTGTACTTTGACCGCCAATAATAATTGATGAGGGAGTGGTGTCATTAGTAGCCAATGCGGGCGTTTGCGCACCACTACTGGCGGCAGTGGTAGTGGTGGGCAATAAGAGCGGAGCCAACAGTGGAGATGTATTTTGGCAATTGATAAACTCAGTGACCGAACCCTACAATTAAAACTAAATGAAACAGTACTTTACGCGATTACAATGAAATGCTGTGATAATTACCGTTTTCTTTTCGACAATTTGACCATTTTTTAATGGGTCGCTAAAATCAAGCGAATAAAAGGTATCGCCGACTCCCGTATTGATGCCAAACATGTGTCCGTTTCGGTAGACCATTGCGAGGAAACTCGGGCCCGATATCAATGTCGTGTAAGTGCCCGCTAACTGGCCATCGATTTGTCGGATATACACTTTTGAGCTGTTGGTAATGGTTTTAATGATCATTAATTGTAAATCTATATTATCAAGTATTCAAGATAATACGGGGTATTCCTAGTTCCTTGAGTTTCATAAATATAAAGTTTTTGTTGGACGATATCGTAGGCCATACTCTTGTAAATCAATCCGGGATTCTGTGGCCAGAATTGGCCCGTCAACGGTCCACCAGGAGGTAAACCCCACGGCATATCTTTTACATCTAAAACGGGTTGTATGGGCAGTAGTTCCTTACCGCCGACACCATTGTCTTTGGTAATATAGGTCTTGTACTCCAAGACATGGGCACTAGTGTTGCCGATCACCAAAGTCTTGTCCAAAGCGTTGGTCATAACCGCACAGTTGGCCTGCGCTTCAGTGCACTGTTGTTGCGAACCGAAATCCACGGCACCTATAATCTCCGTGAAGTGATTGGCTGTAAAGCAAAAATTAAATTAAAACTAACGTCCCTTTAATCATATTATAATTTGCATACAATCGGCGAATATATTGTGAATGTGTTCGGCGTCGAAATACACCCATTGATTGGCAGTAATGATAGCCCTATAGAAACGAGTGCCGTCGCCGACATACAAAACATCTCCGATAATGAAAGCTCTCTTTCCGTACTTTAAGACCAGATCGTGACCGATATTACATAAATCACGTGGTTTTGAGCCGCCTGTAGACGTAGTGTTGGCCACCGTTGCCGCGGGTGTGACCGATGAACCCGCAGCGGACCCTCCCGTAGGACTAACTCCCGTTGTCTGAGATGCGGGACTACCACCTGATTGACCAGTGGATGCACTGCCAGACGAAGGCTGCGAAGAGTTACCGCCAGCGCCTGTACTGACAGCCGACGATTGAGATGAAGGACTGACAGCCGATGCACCAGTAGTTGCACTGACCCCCGACGGCGCTACTGAATTACTAACAGTCGATTGTCCCGCAGAGGCGCTGACACCCGAGGGAGTGGTACTCACACCAGAAGGTGCTGCTGAAGAACCCGCAGACGACGGTGCAGGTGAAGAAGGGCTTGATTGAAGAATCACACCATTGATGGCAACCAAACCAATCAATACAATCGATGGATACAAAGATAACATCTTTTGGTTTTGCAAAATAATAACTGAATTTATTTTAGACTTTGAAATGAATTGTCTTTTTAAGTGAAATATAATGAGAATTACAGTTAAAAATGTTTTCAATGGTAACTTTTTGAATATACAGTAGTTCACGTTAGATTAATATAAATTATCGTTTGACTTATTGTTTAATTTACTTCACAGTTGTATTGAATGCTTTTTATACTCATTTCATAAATACAGTACTAAAACAATTAAATTTATTATCATTTAATGCTTAATTTACTAATTGCTGAAAATTACAGCGGCCAATAGAAATTGAGGATTTATGTAATTTAAATTTCAACGGATAAATCTAATCACCCGATTCGCTAACGGCTTAATTTAGTATTGTTGCGCTAGATAATTAATAATTTTGACCAAAAACTACAGTAAAACCTCAAAACTAGAGCTCATAATTAATACTTAACATGAAGTGTTGTGACGGGAGAACAGGTCAATAGAAATTGATTACACATTATAATTTAAAATTTAATTTATTTGTTTTTTGAATAGATTAGGAAAGTGTTAAATACAAAATTTAAAAAATGCTTTTATTTAACATTAAATAACAATATTTGAGATACAAATAGAAATAATAAGTGAATAAAAGTTGTATAAAATTAAATACACGAAATATATTTAATTCATTTTATTTTAACCGATCGGACGGTTAAAGTGCTAGACTGTCGTCGATTGACTGGAGGCGTGTGTTTGGCGCCGGCAACTGATTTGGTCGCCGGTTTGGCCGCAGATTTGGACTTTGCATTTGACGCTTCAGACGTCACTTTGGACACGGGTTTACCCGCATTTGTCGACTCTTCATTCGGACCCACTTTTGACTTGACGCCTGAATCGAGTGAATTATTTTTTATTACACAAAAACTTACAATAAAATGCCATAATTTTTCGAAATACTCACAACAATAGAGACAGCAAATGATTGCAATGATTACTGCGATTACAATCAATACAATCAAAATGATCCAAATGTGGGAATTTCCGGCCTCTGAGTGCGATCGGGCTGTTGAGGCAGTCGTACCGTCAGCCGCCACCGTAGCACCAGTTCCAGCGGTTCCGCCACTTCCGGTATTGCCTACCGGTGTGCCGGCATTTGGGCCGCCGTTCACCACTGATGTGTTGCTAGCGGTGCCAATAGGAGTAGTGGTGGCCAAAGTGGTGGTCGGCGGAGGAGTGTTCAAGAGATCGTATGTCGACAAAAGTGGTGACGATTTGTTGCAATTGAGAAACGTTTTCATATCGTACTAAACAAACCAAAAAACACCGCATATTTAAAATTGGTTTCAATTATTTTAAATATCAAAACAGTTGACAATTAAATTTTCAATACCATATGTGGTTGTCGTGTGTGTCGACCCTTTTTGGGGTCCGAATAGTTGGGATCAATTAGAAACCAATTTCCGTGCGAAAGACCAAACAGATTACCCTTTTTGTACAACAGAGACGTGAAGTTGAGTGACGTGTGGACCGCCGTATAGTTGCCCTCAAACTGGCCGTCGATCAGCCGATAATGCAATTGAAATGTTTGGGTCACACTATCATTGAATTAACATTTTATAATACAATTATAATGTGTGGCTTTGGATGACATACCTGTTTGGGTTATATGTGATGGAGTAAAGCCTCTGTACTACCATATCGTACGCGAAACACTTAAAACTATAATCAATGTTTTGGGGCCAGAATTTGCTGGTTTGGTCGAGAGTAGAGTTGGGCGCCAAACCCCAGGGCATGGCCTTCGGGTCGCTAACGGTCTTCAGGTGCTTAGAGCCGGAGCCTGTAGTTAAGGCCAAATCGATAGCGTAGGTCTTGTAGCCAAGTTGTCCGCCGCCACCGCTCGACCCAATTGTGCCAAAGATAATAAATTTTTCAAAAGCTTTGTTCATAACACTGCAGTCGGTCTGCAATCGGTTGCACTCTTTGGCTGAACCGAAATATACTCCGGTTATAAAGTCCGAGAATTGGGTCGCTATTGGAAATAGGGTTTAACTTTTATTATCGCAATTCATTACTTCATTTGTAATTTCAATCAATTTTAATTAACTTTTATAAGTAATGAAATAAAAGTTCTTACAATCAGGAAAGAGGTTATGAATGGGTTGAGAAGCGAAGTATTTCCAGTCGGGGTCCACCATCAGAGCCGTATAAAACGTGGTACTATTGCCGAAATACATGATACTTCCCACTGTGAAAGCGTTGGTGATCTGTGAGGCGACTGTTGTGTCCAATGAATTGCACAAATCAAAGGGTTTGCCGCCAGAAGAAGATGAAGGAGAGGTCGAAGTGTTAACCAAAAGAGAGGCCGAACTGCTAACAGAAGAAGAGCCCGAACTGATGGTCGAAACGACTGACGGAACTGACGACTGATCGGTGGTCTGAGCGCTGACACTACCGATGGCTATGAAGCCAATCCAAAAAAGTGTTGTATAAATAGAAAACATATTTAATTTTCAAACAAAACTTGTTAATTGAATCGATATGTCTGTTATTTTTCAGTAGATTTTCACAAATGAATCGTCCGTTTTGTAAGATTTATAAAATTGATATCAATTATAAAATGAATTTAAATGACTATAATTCGCGAGATTTTAGTATTAATTTTGTTAAATCCAATAATTGAAACACTCTTTAAATTTATTACCAAATGTTGGACTCTTATATGAATAAAATAGTTATTTAAAACACTTTTATTAATAAAAATAAACATTTTTTGTTATAAAAATATAAGAATTTGAATGACTTTTTACGAGTAAATAAGTAATAAAACATTTGAATAAAACAAACAAAAAGTTTCAATAATAAGGGGAGAAATAATTTGGTATAAAATAATGAAAAATCAAATCAAAAATTGAATTCAAAATCACATCAAAAATTGAATTCAAATTAATGAGTGGATCGGACGGAAGCGACGGATGACGTGCTCTTCATAGCCAAGGATTTAGTGGGTTTAACGCCACCGGCTTTACCGCCAGCGCCCGCACCGCCCGCTCCACCAGTCGATGACTTCGCCGCTCCCGTAGTCGACGCCGGTTTCGCTCCTCCGGTCGTTGAGCCGACTTTCGATCCCACTTTGGAGCCGGCCTTCGGTGAACCCGGTTTGGCCTCTTTGTCCTTCTCGTCGTCCTTTCCCTTTCCTTTCATACCTTAAACCGGGTTTTCAGATATAATTAGTTGTTTTGAATAAATGAGTGACAAAATCAGTGTTTCGGCTAATTATAGCGAGACTTACAACAGAAGAGGCAACAAATGATAACAATGATTATCACAATCACAATCACTATAATTAAAATGATAAGCATTGGCGACGATTTCTCCTCCTTTTTGGACTCAGCGGTTGACGATTCAGACGGTGCGGGAGACGTGACGTCTGGGTTGGGAGGGGCCACTGTTTCGCTGCTATTGCCGCTCGCATTGCTAGCGTGAGCGCCGGCCGATGGCGTGGGGACGGGTTTGACGGGCAGAATAGGCTTATCTAAGTTAAAAGGCGAGGGTTTGGTGGTTGCGTTGCAGTTGAGAAACTCACTCATTGAGAACTGAAATCAAAGCAAATAATAATAAAAATGAGAGCACAAAGTGATGGAGACTGTGGTCTAAATTGCGTACCGTTTCCTTTTCGGGTATCGGATCCTTCTGTTCAAAGATATCCAACAAATACCACTTTCCCAACTCGAGAGCAAACAAATTGCCACTTTTGGATACCAGCGCTGTATAGCCGCGGGCGGCGTTCGCCATCTGGTAGTGAGCGTCGCCTTTGCCGTCGAGTTTCCAGAAGTGAATGAGTGTCTGACTGAAGTGTTTGCCGATCCACGGCACCCAACCAAAGAATGTCTTGATCAGACTATTACTCAAAATGTCGTGATAAGTCAACACGAAGACCACCTGTTGGGTCGGGTCGTACGCGGCGCCCAAATACTTGTATTCGGCACCACTCGGGAAGAACTTAGTGGTGGTCGTAATGGGAGCGGCGGCGGGCAATCCCCACGGCATTTGGCTGTCATCTTTGAACACCACAAACGGATTAGTAGTGTTTCCAACAAAACTGGGATTGTCAATAATGGGAACGGTGAGAATATAGGTCTGGTAGCCATAGGTGGCGGGCGTGGCATTCACGGGGTTGTTCTGGAAGACCACCATTCCCTTGTGGTACGCTTTGGTCATAAAACTACAGTCATTTCCCGCAGATGTTGGGCACGACTTGTCCCGACCAAAGTACAGCGAACCCGTGATGTCGGTGAATGTGTCCGCGACTATGGTTTGCAACACAATGGGGTGGAGATAGGGGTAGGGATGGGAAGGGGTTTGCCATACAATAAGAAATGTAATTAACAATAATTATTTTACTTAAGCCCTGATTGAGTGGTGGACTGATTGAGTGGTGGAGCTCTCCCTCTATGTATGCAAAACGTAAAACATATGTTTGTACTGTTAAAGTAAGTCCACCACTCTATAAGGCCACCACTCTATCGGTGCTGAAGTTAAATCATCGAATGGATGGCCAAAAATGGCGATCACATACCTTGATAAAGGATGGAAGCGTTACCGACCAAGTCAAATGACCAAAAGTACTGCCATTTCGTCGGGTCACCAGTTTTCATGAGATAAAATTCTTGTCCGTTTCCCCCGAATATGTAGTCATCGAAAGTAAAGACACGCGAAATGTTTTCCAATCTTTTCTGTGCGAGTCCGCAAACGTCGGTTTTGGTGCCGGCACGCGGTGCCGCCCGAGCAATCCCTGGCCCCGAGTCCTCTGTCACACCACCAGCACCGCCGCCGCCGGTCGCTGGGCTCGTCTGACCCGTCGCGCCACTCATGACCACCAAACAGATCCATAAGAGCCGCGTATAGAAAGACAACATTTATTTTCTTCCTCTCAGACACTAAATGGTAAGAAAAAAGAAGACGAAGAATAGGATTAAGTCTTTTCCGTTTAGTTCACAAAACAAAGTGATTGTAATTATTGACAACGAATTGATTGCATTTTTTAAAATTATTGATTGCATTATTACTTCATTCACGCGATTATAACAATTATAATAACATTTATGCTTTTAGTTTGTTGTTAACGTTAGTCTGCGAACACTGTTTACGGCTTGTATTCATTGTTGCCTTACTATAGCTCTGTTTGTGCCTCAGATTAGGTTAGCATCACATTATCTGATCCATGTCTACACTATTCACACTATTAATCAACTTTTATTAATAAAAATAAACATTTTTTGTTATAAAAATATAAGAATTTGAATGACTTTTTACGAGTAAATAAGTAATAAAACATTTGAATAAAACAAACAAAAAGTTTCAATAATAAGGGGAGAA